GCTCTCGTCCAGCCCCAGCGCCAGCTTGGAGGCCGACGGGGGCGGCCCCGCGCCGCAGCCCTGCGCCTGCGCCCCGTTGGTCTGCGAGTAGACGTTGCTCACCTTGGCCGCCTTCTGCTGCCCGTTGCTGCTGCACACCTTGTAGCGGATCATGAGGATGATGATGAACACGAGCACGGAGGCCACGATGATCCCCCCGATGATGATGATCATGGTGCCGCCCAGGAACTGGGACTGCATGAAGTGGCAGCGCACGTAGTCCTGCTCGGTGGTGAACTGCGTGCAGCCCACCACCCGCGTGGCCGTCAGCGAGGTGATCCCGTCGTCGTAGATGGCCAGGACGCACAGGTCGTACGCCGTCCCCGCCGCCAGGTTGTTCACCAGGAAGGTTTTGCTCGTGGGAGGTATCATTCTGGGGGACAAGGACACCAGGGTGAATGACGGCACCTGCCCCAGTGCGATTGCCACACTCAGAGAGAACCACCAAGGCAAAAATGCAAGCAAAACCATTAAAAAGGGCTTTGCACAGTGCAACTGGTAACGAGGCAGAACCATTAAAACACAATGAAACCACTAAAAAGCACTTTGCAAAGTGGCACCACATGCGCAAGGGCCACAGCCGAGGAGTCCGGCGCACGCGCTGCCTCCGCGCTCCCATCACAGCACGGCGGCACCAGCGGGCATCCTTCTGCGGCTGCAGAAAACTGCAAGTGTTAGATCCATTTAACCCATCTAACTTGACAATCCTTCTGCTAATCAGATTACTTTGGAGGATTAGAGACCCGCTTGGATTATCTAAAAATAACACTTTTCAAAGTGATTTCCCTATTAAAAAAATTAAAGTTAAAAATGGCATTAGTCTTTCACGAGTCTCGCACCGCCTGCTTCTTGGGACAGGGTTCGACACACGTAGGTGCTACCCAGGGCTCCGCGGCGATGCCCTGCAGGGAACAGCACATTAATAGTCAATGCAAAGCGGCTCGATGGAGCACGAGCACAGGCTTGGTGGGTCCATCTTACCTGTAAACAAGCGAGTCATCGTAAGTACCGTTGTACTGGATTTGGAACATGCGTATTCCAGGTATATTTCTCTGAAAATTAAATTTCAGCAGCACAGTGGACGATGTTGCCTCTGCCACTACTACCTTCTTATCTTGGCTGATTTTAGTATCCCCGTTACTACTGCTCGCGTTGGAGCCTGACTTGGTGGAAGTCGAGATATCTGAGGAGCCAGGGTCAGGCTCGTGGATGTGATTGGTACTATTCAGCAAATGGGGAAGTTTGATTATATGCAGGTCCACTGTTTGTGTGGCCTCCCCAGCTGGATTGGAAGCAATGCAGGTGAAGGAACCTGTATCCTTTACTGTAGTTATAAGGATGTCCAGCGTCCCATTATCGTACACCAAAGACCTCGTTGCATTTGAAATAAGCTTGCCCTCGGGTGAAATCCAGTGAATTGCTGGTTCCGGATCCCCCCGGGCCTTGCACCGCAGCGTGGCCCTTTGGCCCTCCAAGACCCTCAGCTCGTGCGTGTGCCTCGTGATGAGGGGAGGCTCACAGAGGAACTCTTCCTCTGGGATTGACCAGAAGTACCGACCGGACAAGAGCGGAGGAGAAGCACAGGTCTCCAGGTCGTCCTCTCTGGAGAGCCGCCTCAGCCACAAAAGCTCACAGTTGCAATGCAAAGGGTTTCCACCAAAGCTTAATGCAAAAGTAGAGGGGCTGATAATTCCTGAGGTTGCTAGTACCTGAGCTCGCTGAAAGAGAGGATCAGGCGGTAGCTTCTGCAGTTTGTTAGATGTGACATCTAACCTGGTCATCTTGTGGAGGTGGGAGAAGGTCCCTTTAGGAATATGGTCAATCATATTGTGGTCTAGACTGAGAGTGTGCAAACTAACCATCTTCTCCACAGCATCCCAAGGGATGGTTTCTAAATTGTTATAAGACAAATCCAATTCCTCAAGAGCTAAAACATCATCGAAAGCTGTGGAAGAAATCAAAGTCAGCTGGTTGTTGTTAAGTATCAAGTGGTGAAGGTTGGAGAGTCCACTAAACATGTCATTGGTGATCTTAGTCAATCGGTTGCTGTTCAAATGCAAAGCCCGCAAATTGCGCAAGTCAGCAAACGCATGAGGTGTAATAAAACTTATTGTATTCCTGGACAAGGTCAGGTCCACAAGGCTGGTCATATTGGCAAAGTCTTTCCTTTTAATATTTGTAACAAAGTTGTCTGCCAGCCGTAATTCCACAGTCCTCCTGTCAATGTTGGGTGGAACAAATAAGAGCCCTTTCTTGGCACAAAGGGTTGCAAGATTCGGAGACAAAATCTGACAGACACAGCGCTTGGGGCAGATCTGGGCTCTCACTGCTATGCCAATGAACAGCAGAAACAAAAGCAGTTTTTCCATTGTAGATCAGGTTCAAGAGTCTGAAAGAGAACAAACTTCTGTTAATACCTACAAGTTAAGCAAATTTAGCATCGAGAGTAATAAAAAAGCAAACGAAACATCTATGGTTAGGTCATGAAACTGAGGTCCACATAACCATGTCATCTAATGGTCCTCATCTAATTATCTTATGTTTTTATATTTCTTCTATATCCTGCTGTAAAAATTTCCATAGTATCTTCCATAAGAACTATGTATATTGTATCTATACATACACTCACACCGACACACACCTACTTTTACACAAATCGCACAGCAGTTTGTGAGGATTGGGGACCCTGCGTGTTGTATTTTGAAGCCCATCCTGTGTGAATTGAGGCTCGTCTCAGGCTTGCAATACATCCTCGTTCCATTCACTGAGCTTTCAGATGGAGGCTCTTGACCTGGTGACCTGGAGTTACTCCATGATAATGCCATTTATGCACCGGAGATGCAGGGGATGCTTCGTGTGCGCTTTACTTGGTAAGCTAAACCTCTCAGTGGCCTCCAAAGCACAACAATTCAATTGGTTTATAAGCATTTCCACTGAACACTTGAGCTCTTAACGTTATTTTCAGAATAAACTCAAAAGAGCTTTTTTATGTCATTCAAAAACAAAAATACAAATTAAAAAAAGAACAAGAAAACCCCAACAACAACAGAGATCTAAATAAAAATGGAACACGGGCTAATTTTAGAGTATTTCTGTTTTCCCTACTGCCACAGCCAGCAATGCTGCAGTCTCATCCTGGAAATTCTGACAGTTCAATTAACCTTATCTTTTACATTGCCAGATCCAAAATCCTCACTGCATATGAAAACAAAGACAACGATAACAGTGCCTACACCAGTCAAATGAAATCATCCATTGATGACTATCCTAAAAATCCTGGAAGTGCCACGCTGCCAATTTCTGAACATGGAAGACCAGAATCCTTCATGACAGCAAACATGATTTTTGATAAAAAAGTGGTAAATTCCTACATATTTCCCACTTCCAAAAACACAAGAAACATTGGAAGGAACACAGTCCTTCTGAGGAATATGTATGTATTTAAGGAGAAATCTTGCAAAGCCGTAAAGCAAATTATCTCAATGGGACTCCACATTTGAACAGAAATGCTCTGCTCACCTTGGGACTGATAACATTATATATGTACAGATGGGATTGCTCAGACATGTCATCGCCCTAGGAATGAAAAGTCATCCAAAATAAAATGAAAATTCAAGACTAACTCTAAACGCGAGTCTTGAATCCTCAGGGACCTTTAACGACTCGTGCTCCTCTTGCCTGTCCCTCCGTAACCACCGCTTTGCCACGCACAAGTAGAGGCAGCCGCTGCAGAGAGCATGGGCGGAAATATCCCCTCTAAAGGCTGCTCTTCAGACCTATCGAACGTCTTGTTTGTTCCTGCTGCTCACAGAAACTGTGTCCTTCGTGACTACGGACTCCAGCCGCCAAGCCCCCATGACGAAAAGAGAGCCCTCCATCCACCGGGACGGCTCCACTGAAAGCGCAACCGGTCATTATCGCAGTGCTGGGAGCCCCGCAGCTGCCCCCGTGAGCCCCCAGGATGCCCAGGTCGCTGCTGGTCGATATACCCGCGCTCAAGGAGGCACCAGCGTCATGATGAGCTGTGGAGACCCGCATGGTCACGCAGGGCAGGGGGCCGCACGCGGGCCCGGCGCCGTCCCAGACGCTACGACGCGCGCGTTCATCCTAGCATCAATCCTGCGGCCTATCGCACTGCAGCAACGCTGGCTGAGGAGAATCAGCGCCTATCTGACAGTGGAAAAGGATATAAAAACAAATTTACTCTCTGTAGCCAGCTGAGAGTGTAATTTGTTCGCTAGAGAATCCATTCTTGCACCAATTTATATTGGACTCCCTCCGTGAAAACTGGCCGCTCTATAAACGCACCAATTAAATTTGTTTCCCTTTTCTTTAAAGTCAGGGGAGGCAGGCTGATCTTCTTGGAAACTGGAAAGTTTCGCAATGAAACCTTCTGTACGTCTGTGGAGAATAACTGTTTGCATAAATTCTGCCAGCAAACAAATTTCAGGATGATGTTTAAACACATTGGCTGGATTAAACTCCCTTCCTCCCGTGTCAGTGAGGATTCCTCAGCCGAAAACAGGATTCAAGGACAACTCTGATACGAAGCAGTGCTAAAGCAGCACTGTGGAAATGACCCGTTTCACACACCCTAGGAGGGCAGCGGGTAGGTGCTAGTGAACCTGCTCCCAACGCAGCAGCCGGGAGGCACCGGAGCAAGAGGCTTGTCCGGAGCCGGGGGCTGGCAGCCGCCCTTCCACCCACCATCCGGCTCCTCCTGCTTCGCCCATCCCTGCAGCACCCTCGGAACGGGCTCCTCCAGCTCGGTGCACACACGGCACAGCTGCCAACACCACACACTGTCCTTAGCTAGGTTACATTTGCTAATTCAACGCTGCTAATTTGGATCTGGAGCTGCAGTAAAAGTAACACGCTCAGTGTTTCCTGGATTCAGGCAAGTTCATTTAAAGAACTACACGAGATTAAAATAAAAGCCGAAAGGTTCATTTAAGTAAAGCAGATTGCAGAGCTTTTGACTGCTTGGAAATGCTGCTGCAAAAGCAAAGGATCACATAAGAAAAGGCAGACTTGAAACATGCCCCAAACAAGCCCTTCTCAGGCTTGTAAACTTGAAACACGCCCAGCTCAAGCCCTAATACCAGGCACAACCGCCTGGCGCAGGGCAGCTCGGAGACCCTGCTCGGGTGCCGCAGGCCACCACCTCGCTCGCACGCTCAGGCCAGGGCCGAGCTAACTTGCAGTCCTCTCGGTTCCGTTCACGTACCAGTTACCAGGTTATCCGAGTGCAAAGTAAGCGCCAAACAGCCTCTGGGATCCCAACCGCCTTCTGACTAATTGAATTAGGGGAACATATTGTGACTGCAGCACCTCCCAGCTCCAGGTGCGCAGGAAAACGCAGAGTGCGGCCTGAGCCCATCTGCAGTCAAAGTGAGCGCGGGCGTTTTCTATATGTTCTTTTTTACTATATGATTTTTTGCCCATGCCTCATCCTCTCATCCCGGAGGCTGGCTGAGCTGCAGGTCACGGGTGTCCCCAAACGCTCCCGATGACGTGTCCGGCACACGGCTGCCGCGTTGCCGCACGAGTCTGCAGGTGAGACGCGTCCATCCCGGCAACGCGTCCCTCCCGGCCCCGCGCTCGCCCTCCCTGCAGCCGCATGAGCCCGCGGGTGGGACGCGTCCGTCCCGGCACCGCGTTTGCCCTTCCACCAGCCCCGGCGGCTGCCGGGCCGAGCGCATCCCAAGCTCCTGCACATCTGCAGCACCCGCTTGGCAGCTCCCGCCTCCTTGGGCCCGGGCGCGAGGCGCCTCTTGGCTGAGCCCCGCATGCTTTGCCAAGGCTAAAGGCAATTAGCCTTGCCTTTAATTAACTAATTAGTCCTGGAGCGGGGCCACAGGACTATCCCCCGCTGCCACCCGCGGCGGAGCTGGCTGGGGACGGGCTGCCGGGCTGCAGAGCGCGCTTTGCTGCTCCCACCAGCGACACACGGGCACCACCGCGACCGCCAGCCCGAGCCGGGTCTCCGGTCTGCGCCCGAAACCTCGGCCAGGGCTCCTCGCGGGTGCACGAAGAGGCCGAGGACCGGCAGAGGTCTGTGAAGGTCCTGCCCCGCTCCGGCCAGAGGCAGCTCCACCGCGGCTCCCGCCGGATCGCCGTTCATTCCCCTGCTTCCCCACCTCTTCGTTTCACTGCATTTGTGCCAACAGTCACGGTTTCTAAAATCTCTCTGTCACGAAAGGAAGTACCAATGTTTGCAGCTGGAGAACACGCCAGGTATCTCAGGTAGCAGCAACAGCCCAAGTACCCACGGCTGGCGCTAACGCACGGAGCCTGAGCTCGCGCTGCACTGCTTCCAGCCAAGAGGGCTGTGCCTCTCCGGCTGGGCATCGCTCCTTCCCGCGGAGCAGGGAACACCCTTCCTCCTTTTCCTGGCAGCACCACGGCTAGGGGGGCAGATATTCCAGAAGACGGTTGAAACCACAGGAGGAGCAGGAGACGACACTGCTCTCGGAAGTCACCCAGGGCTGGGAGCGCTTCTGCAGCCAGGGCACGGCCAGCCTGGAGGCCGTGACCAGCCTGTCCCTGCGCCCCTCCGTCCCCACCGCCCTTCTTCTCATGCAAACAAAGCTCGGACAGCAAAGCTGATGCAGCTCACGATTCACTGCAGAAAACAGATTATAAACCGAGAAAAGTGGTTTGGCTTAAAAAAATATAAATTAAAGTCATAGCAAATGCATTATTACATTACTACATTAAAACAAACAGTTGGAGACTAGTTTCTCTGGAAGGTACAGACTGCTCTCATTTACCAGCTGGAATCTGCAGACAGGGATGTTCAAACTCCTGTTACGACGTTTGTGGCCCAGGTGAAAAAGGTTCTCAAAACCAAAGCTTTAAATCAATTTTGTTATCGTGTTTGATACTTTGTTCAATCTGTGTACACAGATACTTGCAGACCAGAGACAGCACTTCATAAATCAGCCCTCCCAACAACAAAGGCAGCAGTTACAAAAAGGTGGAACTTGCAATATTAGCCAACCTAAGGAAGAGACGATCCCATCTTCAGTTCTAAATGGAAACAGGAAAACTCGGAGCTGGGCCCAGGCCAGAAGGAGCCGCCTGGCACAGCCGTCGGCTCCGCGATGCGCCCGGCAGCAGCGGCTCCCGCGCAGCCTCACTCCGAGCCTCTCCATGGACGCGTCGGGTCCCCGCGCGCCGACCGGCCCTGCCACGAAGGAGCAGCCTGGCCGAGGTGACACTGCTGCGCTCAGGGGGTGACAGGCAGGGATGGCCACGGCGGGGCTGGGCACGGCCTTCCCTGCATCCTGGGAGTATCCCAGGGGCATTCCAGAGGCATCCCGGTGGCAGGCCGCCTTCACCCCAAGGACTGTGCCAGCAAGACAGAGGGAACGGTAACAACTA